TAGCAGTGGCAATACTGTGAATAGATAATTAAAAAAAATGAAGGCACCTCAAAAACACTACGTAGGATTCCCAGTAAGGCTGGTTAGGGTTGGGGTAGCATGTAAGCCTACGATCCAATTGAGCAAAATAATTTAGTTTACCAAATCCTTTGCAACGATTGCCAGGTCATAGTAGTCGACTAGGACCAATTAGGCTATCTGAACACAAAGACCTAGCTATGTTAAAATTGCTAAATCCTAGTTTGGTAAGGAATTAAGAAAAAACTTCAGCCATAGCTATGCGTGCGCTTACATGCAATCACACGAAATGGTGGGACAGGGTGAAAAACCTTAAAACTAATATAGGAAAATTGAGATAGAGATTGATAAATCAATCCTTGGTTATTAAATCAACACCTAATACATGCAACAGGAATGACTCAGCATCTATTCCAGATATATGCGAAATCTTACTACCCATATCATGAAGGTGAGGAAATTTAGGACTATATAAGGCCTGTCTCAAAGTTGTGTAGTTATCTTGACGTGACTATGGACAATAAATTATGTCCGAAACATAATCCAGTACTACTATACTATGTGATAAATTTAATGAATCAATAAAAACGGAGCCTTTAATTTCTAGTTTTTTCTGTCTGTACAGTCCCAAATGTGTGCATTTATATGAGTTATAATACTAGGATATTCGGAGTTTACTATATCATGGTAATTGACATTTGTATGTATCAACGCTATAGAATTCTCTTCATTAACTTTTAATACAATAAAATGATTGATTTATATACCTTTCGAATATTGGCGCCTTAAATCTTCATTCAATACTAGTACAGTTGAATTTGAAGCAGAATTACACTTTTCAGTATTTTAGACAGAAAACTTAATGATTTCACTAAATTAATGGTTTTCATTACTGATTCTTATAGATATACTTTTTAAATAAACTGTTTTATTGTTGTTAAGTATTCAATATTCAAATGTTTATTATTTTTTTATAGTCTTCATCAAAACAGTTCTTTTTTCATAATTAGAACGCAGGCAATATCAAGATATCCTCACAGGAACCTATATGCCAGTAGAGACCGATCAGTTCGGTCCAATCAACTACTGTATGACGTGCTAAAACTATATCCGTCGCACAACAAGTGCCTATCGTGGCTGGATGTGGTAAAGGATAACGCGCTGGCGTTTGAAGCGATCGCTCCCGAGTCCGAATCCCTTTGGGAACAACACTCACTGGGAAACAGGTAAATCCAGCTGACGAGTCCCAAATAGGATGAAATGCGCATCCTGCATTCCAGTGCTAGCCACGATCCATCACTAACATAATTAGAACGCAGGCAGTATCGAGGCATCCGCACAGGAGCCCATAGACCAATAGAGACCGATCAATTCAGTCCAATCAACAACGGTATGATATAAAAACAATTATACCGTTTGTTCGCTTGTTTATCAATTATCAATTAGTATACCATTTGAAACAGCTGCGCTGATTTTTATTTTTCCTATAAGTGCTATAGTAGTTATGGTCTTAATCTATATGGCTAAAATCAGACAATTCTGTTATACAATAAGCAAAGTAATGTAAAAATAGGTGATTGATGTTCATATGGACTGAATCAAAACATAAAACTAGTAAGAAAATAGTGAGGATTATCGATTTGTGCATTTTCCGTATTAACATGGTATTTATGTAACTGAATTTCAGTCAGAAACATTTTATAATCTGTGCTACTGACAATGATATATGAGGTTCGCATAGACCTCTACTAATAAACAGAAACACTGGAGAGTTATTGTTGACACTCTGAGAAACAATAATTCAAGGATTTCAAGAATCACATACTGTCTGTTGTGTGCAGAATATTCTTGTATAACACATGAATGTGTTTGTACTCCATTCAAGCTTTGTAATAAACTAGCCGTACAGTTCAAATTGTAGGAACCTTGTTAATTGTGTTTTCTGATGCAACTTGGAGATTTGTGGAGATTTATTAGTTGATATTATTCATTCATCGATGGGAACGACGAAGTCGGACGTGAGGGCAGTTACTTAACGACGGCATTGGATGAAGGCCGCATTATATTGTGAAGTGACAGAAATAGGGAATATGGACCATTGGATTCCGACCCAGTGGTTCAATGGTAACTTGTTGTTAAGGACTTTTCCTAATTGCTATCGGCCAGCCAAAAAATATTACTGTATCGTTAACAAATCTACTAAAAGGATTCTGGTCATTCAAAGACCGTATTACGGCTGTCCTGCTAGGGGAACAGGCTGAAAAAATGTAGAGTCTTTCAAACGCGTTCAGCAAATAACTGAGTATATTTGGCATACGTTTCACACCTGTCAAATTTAACATGGTGCTAATGGACTGCTCTCCTGCAAATACTCACAGTTTAATGACAGGGAGTGAAATGATCAAATATTTCAACCATTTCACTTAATTGTGGAGTTTCTTCACCTCAAAAGCGCTGGTTGCTAACATTTCAGACTGGATACAGAGGGCCAGTTTAGTACTTCCCAAATTGAGTTATCTGTGGCTTCCACTGGTGAGATATCTGACTATCTTGCAAAGGACGAATAAACTGCTCCGTAGTCTGTTCTGTCCTGCTACATAGCTGTTAGAAGTAGAAGACATGAAGTGATTACTGGGTTTCGGTCACAGGTGAAGGACACTAGGCAAGATAGGCAAGTCAGTTGATGAGGTTATGAACCTAAGTTGACTGAGATGGTTTGAACATGCGCATGCATACGTCAAGCCGCCGACGTTTCATGCTTGGGAGAGCTGAATAATGTTAGGAGAGGGTTCAGGGTGATAAGACCAAAGGATGTCACCAGTTGAGGAAGTCCTTGATTCTTGATGTGAGCCGTTTTAGGAGATGTAGAGTGCCTACTGAGACGACTGGAAGCAGTGATTGGGGACTCGTGGTGAGATGGCTGGAAATCGGTCACATGGGCAAAGATATACTCACTACTTGATATCTCAAGCTTGAACATTCGCACTAACAGATTGTTAATTCCCTCACACTACTTAATCTACTTTGATATCGCTAGTTTTCTATCCACCTGTTCTTTGTGTACTTCTGTGGAGTGTGATAAATTGAATAGATGCACTCGCGTGCGAGGTTCTACGTTGATTTTATGTCAGTTAGTCAGTCATTATGTTTATTAAGTAATAACTTTAGTCTTGTAGAACCTGATGATCCATCCAGTAAGCTAACTCATCACGGTAAAGATGTTACAAGATTACAAACGGGAATTTGCTGAGTGTGGATAAATATGAATGAAAATTAGATGAGAAACCTAACCGATAAACGATACTGAAATATGTATTCTAGTCACAAACATTTACAAGAGACGGAGAAGATAAAACACTTTCTTCCTTGACGAACTCTTCTCTCCCATTTGAACATCCATGAATAAATACCAGAGGGAATATATTATTGAAAACTGCTTTCAGTCAGAAATAAAGAAAGACTAGACTATAAAGGGGAAGTAACAAGATATAAATAAGGATCAGGGTTCGTTAAAAAAAGATGCGTAAAATGAAATATAATTGCATAATAAAGAAATTATCTACGGTTTTCAAATATCTTGGGATAAGCGGGGCTAAGAAACAGATTGCATATTACTCCTTTTGGATGCACAGTAACTATTTGACCTTTTAAATTTTAGATGATTCATATGTGTATAGATACCTTAATTCCCTTCTACACAAAATTTAAGAGAATTTTAGGACTACAGAGTTTTCTGTTGCAGAAATCAAGGTGTATTTCTGCTTACCTATCTTAAGCTACGATGGATAGTCCTACAAATGCACATCGTAGCGTATTTGCTAACCCATATAACAGCTAGTTTAAGGGCATATAAATATTGATATAGCCCAATGCTCCCGTATATTCTTCATAGGATAATATGTATTTCTAAGATTAGTAGCTATAACATTCTGCTCTTTGATAGTCACAGCTGTTTTTTAAAAATTTTCACAGTATTTTCACCCTCAAAATTGAAGTTGAGCGGTACGATCTTTGTTGATGCCCTGCATACTTTCATTAACCCCTATAGGCTAAAAGCTTTTGCTCATAAATTTTAGTGAGAACTCAGATGAACACAAAAATATTTTGCAGGTTTTTCTTTTTTTCTGTGTTATCCTTTTCTCTTCTTTTTCCTAGGATTAAATGAATTCATCTCAATATTTAGAATAAATTCATTAAAGAGATGTATTTTTTTGTAAAATACCAAATAGTTAGCAAAATAAATTTCTGATGTTTCGTGACCTCCTTGAATACTCAACTTATTCAAAAGTGAATTCACTTTAGAGTCAGTCCCACAAGATTATTTTGTTGCGAGTACAGTATACTTTCCTAATTATGTGAATGCCTTTTTCTATCTATTTCAGAACTTAGAAGTACTATTTACAGCCAAGTGATTCCTTATTCATGAATAACAGTAATAAGAATCATTGAAATGTTAAGCCACGTTAAAACAAGTTGGTAGACAAAGAGAATACCAGAAAATTTTCACCATTCTAAAGAATTAAACTCTTAATAATCTATTCTACAGTTATAATGATTTTGCTTCATAACCAACAAAAGGCTTATTGAAACGTGATTATCAAAAAGTGATGCTTATCTAGGGTGAAAGTGACAGGACCAATAATGGTATGTGCGTGTTTATCACTTGCGACTGGAATAAATGCCAACTAATTAGTTGATACCACTTATGTATCTCAATAACGTAAAACATCTTGAGTTCCAATAGAATGTATTTCATAGCAGTTTGGTTAAGTATTTTCAGATAAAACGTTGTAAAATCATATCACGACTATTCATGCCGTTAACTTGCCCAAATAAAAGGACGTAGGACTGGAAGAAACATACAAATCCATAATTAAAGTCAAGAGCTCGGATACTAACGATAACAATACACACATGTTACTCACAACCAATGAAGAACGATCAGATCAGTTAAAATATATGTCTTTTATAGTTTGATAAGTATGCTTATAAATGTTGATGGAATCTTATGTATTCCTTTAAAACTGTTTCGACTCAGAACATTTTATTCAACTAAAAAGTATTCGTTATATTATCTTCGTGATTAAGTAGGATTGCATATCAGGTTAAAAATTATTCTACCACTTTTCACATAATGGTTAAACTCATTACTTTCTATCACTTCATCATCAATCATTGAGCTGGGAAAATATGTTCTACTATGCAAAATATATAGTCTGGGACAGAACATCATTAGGCTAATTTTCATAATTTATCATTATTCAGGTTGGTATTCATCATGGATTGACATCATTTGGAGGAACATTGAGAACCTGGGTGCACTGGATATCTGTTTAGTTCTCGTATGGGATTCCTCAGCAGCGTAAACCTATGATCCTGCCCCACCGGGGATTGAACCCAGGACCTTCGGGTTCCATTTGGAAATATGGACCATTAGATTCCAACAAGGTGACTCAATGGTAACGTGCTGGTCACAGAACCCATAGGTTCTGAGCTTGACCCCTGGTGGGGTGGGGTCATGGGTCCACACTGCTACGGAGTTCAATGGTAGGACAAGACAGGTACCCAGTGCTCTCATGTTTTTAATGTTCCTCCAACTGATGTCATTCCGTGATGAATACCCACTTGAAAAATCAGTGAATCCCCACAAACCCCCAAATTCATATGATTTGCTACCCATAATGCAGGGTGCTAAGAAAATAACGTCATTATTGTTCTTTGCATGGAACTTGAACATTAGAACTAAAAGTCACAGAATGTAGTACAGAATTATAAGGCACTAAATAGTTATTCATAATGTAGAAAGAAGCTACATCATACATATACAGAGTCACAAAATGTTTGTGGTATTAATCCACTTCACTTAATTCATGATACTTAAAATGACCGTTGTTCAACGGCTATCATCCACACTCATTCCAACACACAGTTCTATGGCTGACTAGTCTTGGCATAAAGCAGAATCCGTATCCTATTCTTTTTTTCTACAAGGTCACTGAAAGCTTGAAATGCCTATCATTAATCATGGTTGAACGATCAACTGAGAATAACATTACAACAAAATCAGTCAGATATTACTATGATGCAACACTAATGTGCTTAAGAAACCGAGGTTGAAGATTTAAGGATTTTTTCTTTCAAAAAAAGACACTGTACTCAAATTAGTCAAGGAATTATTTGCCATGAAGCTACAAATTACTTATATCTATACAATGTCATTCGATAAAGCTTGCGAGACACCTACTTAGCCCAATTACACAGCACTTCAGTCTATCATGCTTCAGAGTAAGATCTCGTGAACCCTTAGTTCAGTTTTGTTTTCAGACATTTCAACACATCAGCAAACTCCATAAGCATTTGTGTAGATATGAACTGTTACCTTAAAGATTGCAGGTTGCATCACTCACCAAAGTCATCGGTCTTACAATTGTAAAATTATTCCCACCTTAATTTAAAAATACGTCAATATTACTAAATGATAACTAATGACCGTTTCAATACATGAAACGAGGATTAAAACTGCTTTTAGCAGTATAGGGTAATGGATCATTGGTTTAGGGAGACGAATATTAATCAATGGGTCAAGTATTCGAAAACTGCTTCATCTAGTGAGGTACAGACGGACACGTAGTAATATCACAGGGCCCCACACAACACATATGACTTATTACCAACTGCACGAATTTGTTGAGTACAATTCAAACTTCGGCATTATTTGACTTACTTGTTCAGTAGTTCGAATGTCTGAGCAGAAATAAATATTCTCCAGTTGTTCGTCAATGGATCAACAGGCAATTAAGCAGATAGACTGTATGTAATGGCCAGCTGATGAACTTCTACAGTTGGGTACCTATAAGCCAAGAAAGAACACTAATAGTGTCCCTTACCCTTCGTATTCGATAAATCTGCAGGACTATTAGCTTAGAAGGAGAATTCTTGTTCCTCAAAATGACTCTGGATGAAAGTGGGATATCTAGCATGATTTATGGACAAAAAATGCAACCTAAGTCAAGAAGAGAGATAAAAATTTCAGTTCCAAAAAAGATGTCATGCATGAACCTTGATTTGAAAGGTGAATTCATTGGTGATATCCTGAATATAAGAATTTCAAACTCTCCACAGAAAACTTTCTTCAAGTTAAAGTTGAGGATAGTGTTCTGCAGTCGTCCAAAGTTCCCCGATAACCCGAAGGATAAGCTTTCGTATCTGACAACTTACATGTGCGTTTATCAGTTCACCTACTCCTGTGGAGTTAGGTATGTTGGTCATGTGATGTCCATACTTTCCAAACGGGTTATAGGTCACGACCTCACCTCGTTGCAGAGAGGTGTGTGTGTGAGTGGATACATCAGATGTGCAATGACTGAAAACCTTGTCAACACTGGTCATATCATCATAACTGACTCAGCGTTAAAAGTGTAAGGAAATTTCCTGAAAATGGCACGTTCTCGCCTTCTCTGTATTACAGAAGCTCTTGCTGTATGCACACAGAATTCGAAATTATGTGTACAAAAGGAACGCGTTCAACCTTTATTATTACCTTGAATGTAGTAAATTACTATCAATAGATCGACGTCTATCTATCTCTTATTATTCACAATTTCGTTGTACTTTATTATACCTTTTTAATAATCCAATATCGTCTTGATTTTGTTTACATCCTACCTATCCTTGATTACGCTTTCTCTTGAAAGTGAGTTTCACAGATTATACAACTTCATTGCCTATCCGGTTAATTATGTTTCTCTCTAAGCTCCTTTGTGGTTGAATATGCAGTTGTTTAGTCCTTAGTTTTTAGCACTCATAAAAGTCTATCGACCACGCTTTGCAATGATGACTGAGCAACGTCAAGTGAAACTACGGTGCATTGCATTACAATGTTAAATGATCGAAGTTAATCCACAGGAAGTTCTTGACCATTGTTTCGTTTTTTTTTCAGTGATTCGAACCCGCATCATTCAAAGTTGACAGACGTCAATCAGTGTTACGCACCATGAACTAGGCAGCTACACAGGTAACTTAGTGGTGATCAACTCGGTTACATCATCAAGCAGTACAAGGTGTAAGTCGTCGTCTGTATAGTCTAGCGGTTAGACCTGTGACGTCAACATCAAGCAGTTCAAGCCAAAACTATTGGAATCGCACCAGTTTAATATTTTCATAGTATTATTACATCAACCTCACCTGGTTAACTAGTTCACTAGTTACTAGCCGGTCCTAAGCCCGGGTAAAGAGGGAAGGTTAGGCATGGGACCAGCAACCCTACCCGTAAAACCAATCTAACCGCTGAAGAAAGTTCAAAGCTTACGCTCGATACTGAAGATCAGATGGCCAGGATAATAAGAATAAGCAACAAGGAACTCTGGGAACGAACCAAACAAATATGCAGAAGAAAGTGGAGATGGATTGAGCATACAATGAGAAGGCCAACTGGGGACATCACGCACCAGTCCCTCGAGTGGAACCCGAAAGGGAAACGACGAGTTGGGCATCCATGACGAGGGTGATATGGAAGGGACCATATGGCGAAGAAATGAAAGCTTGTGGGCAATCGTAGTGCCAGGTTCAAAAAACTGCAGAGGACAGACTGCAATGGAGGTGTGCTACTGAACCCCTATGTTCCACTAGGAACCCAAGGAAAAAATAAAATAATAAAAAAAATATTTATTGCATCTCCTAACATACTCGTTCACCTTATTTTCTAACTTTGTTTGTTTAATCGACCGCCACTTTCGCTGTATTTTGTTCTTGACATGAATCGAAAAAATAGTTTATCACAAAGTTTTATCTAATTGTTACTACCACTTAAAATTCATGAAGAATGATTTTGTTTTTCCCTTTTAGTATCCAAAATCTTTTGGTCGTCTGTATGGTGAGAAATGTCTCTTTTCCTATTTTTTTAAAAAAAATTTCCTACATGCAGGTATGTAGATTGCTATCTTTTGTTTTCACAGAAAGCTTTCAGTTACTGTCAAAGTAAGCTTTGATTCACTGTTAATGCTACTATCACTACTACTACTTTTAACGTTATTATAGGTAGTATTGTTCAGTATCTATGTTTGTTAGTATGCTAATGCTTTTCAGTGATGTTTACTTCCCATTAAAGAGAAAAGAGTAGATATCTGTCGATGTGGCTTCGTTGCATTAATATTTGCTGACCACTTGTATGAAGGGTGGATAAACACGAACTCAAACAAACAAGCAAGCAAACTCCACTTATCTGTAATCATAATTTAAGGTAATGAATACAAAAGAATAAAAGAGAATTATGGTACGTGCATAAATGTTTGAGACGGTAGAAAATATAGGCAGGCTTTCTATTATGGCCATCTTTTAAAATAAATCATTTTAGTAGTAGTGGTAGTAGTAGTAGTAGTAATAATAATAATAGTAATGGTAATAATAGCCGAAAGAGTAACATAAACGATATTTACTAAATGCATTAAAAGCTTCATTTTTTTCAGTAACCAAAAAGATTATTATCTCTACCCAGACAATGAAATCATTTACAAAATCAAATTCATCTCTTCTCCTCAACATGACATCAACAACTCTACAATATCTGCCTGTATACATATATACCCATCATCAAAGTAGCTAAAATAAAATATTCTAGTCATTTCAGTAATATAATGTTGGCGATTATTCACTTCACGTCGTAGAATCATGAAATTTCCATAAAGCATAATTTTGACTGGTGGATTATTTGTATGTGTGTATATATGTGTCTGTATGCTTGTTAACTTTGAAGGGGAGTAGAAAAACGGCAAAAAAACTGAATAAGTAGTGAATTAGACATAATTTTCATTTTGTACACGGTGTGATCATCATTTTCACAAGGATTGAGTTAAGTAAATCCACATGCAATCATTTACTGGTGAACACATGGATAGATAGTGAATTTCTGCCATCTTTCATATCATACTGTTCTATTGGAAAAGAAAATAATAGGTTTTAAATCAACCTATCAATACTACTACTACTTATAATAATAAAAGTGATACTCTTACTTCTACTGACTTGTATTGCTTTCTCAGTCAATGAACAGACATTTGTATATTGAACATTGAATACTCAAAGTCGAAATCTATCGTATAAAGTGGATAAAGTTCCGCTTTAATTTTTATTTTCGGAAATCCTCGTCCAAACCAGATACATGAATATATATGTATATATATATATAAGTACATTTATGCATTTCTACAAGATTGTTTCTTTCACTTGCAAGAATGATCTATCCGTTTCTGTGGATAATATCACTGTAACAGCAAAATAAATTTGGGAATTATAAAGCATATTCTGATGTATGCTGCCATTTGTATACATCCGTGGATGACAAATTTTTTCCACTCGCTAGAGTGAATAGTTCTTATCACCCTCACTCATTTTGCTTCATATTGAAGTTCTCATTGTAACAAATGTTTTCAAAAAGTGTTTGCTATTTCCTAGCCTTGAATATGATAAAATATAATTGAAGTGAAAGGTAAGTTATTATTGTATTTTATGATGGTGTCAGTAAATATGTTTTCAATATTTTGGACTTTAAAATCTGATAATTAAACTAACCTTGAGATGTACTAGTAATGATTCAAGGAATTAAAAACTTGAGGTGAGATCTTATATCCCTTCTTTATTGAAAATTAAACCATGGAAATCAAGCGTACTGATCATTCATTATTATATATAATATGATAGTCCAAATGATTAGGAATTGGTCTGTAAAACTTTTGAAAAAATTACCCACCAGAACCTGTTGAAATATAACTGAATGAGGAAGGTGACAGTTTAAATAAACGAAAATGTAAATAAACTGCAGTTAATAGTCAATTCACTAATTTTTGTGGTTCAGTCTTTCAGTAAAAAAACATAAATGAATTAAGTAGTATTGAAAATCCCCATTCCGAAAATTAGGAGGTATATAAGTAAACAATATTCTTTCCAGGTAGTTGTCATCAAGCTCAAGATGAATATACATAAATGTTCTCATACATAAAACATTAATCCAGTTACGGTTAATTCTTAAATCTGCGGTTACAAGAAAATGAAGCTAGCAAATAGCTAATATCTAGGTAATAACAATAATCTCAATGATAATAAGAATGATTGGAATAGCATGGTACTGCAAACATTTAGACGATCAACGTAGGTCAAAAGGTTGAAAAATAAAAGTTGTATAACCAGGGTCTAAGCAAATAAACATGTGCGAAAGGGAAAGAGGATGAAAATTGAGTTAATCTTTGAAGTGATTTATGAAATTTTCCCTGGTCAAGGGTCATATAAGAAATCTGTTCGAAATAAAGAATTATTCATAAAATAGTCTTCTTTAGGAAGCTTTTTCTGAAGATGTCACCAAGCCTAGTGAGATAGCCAGCAGGAAAAATATCAAAGCTTAGACAATATCATCATTATCCTTATCCTGAGCTAAAAATATCAGCCATTATTTAAAATCATTATTCATGAATTTCCAATTTAGAGGAGATGCACCTGAAGAAGTCCTATTCCAGAGACTGTCTACAGCCACCAGAAAAGCTTATTATGCCACCGCCCTAAGCTTATCATTTTCTAGTTGGCTTAAAATTGTTAATAAGTCGAAAGATTAGCTCCCCAGTTTTCGCCACTTCTGTGTTCACTTATCAATCTAGTTACTCCTGTGAAGAAAGCTACATCGAGCCTACCACTAGGCAGCCTAGCAAAAGTGTTGCTGAGCACTTACCGTCCTAGCCAAGCAAAGGACAAATGAAGTTAACACGAAGTTAAATTCTGTCGCATTTGGTGGACAATGATCATGTAGTAGATAATACCGAAGCGTTCAAAATCATCTATCGTATTCCACAAAACCTTCCAAATGGAATTCATACTCGTATATTGCATATAGCTTAGAGGAAATTACCTAATCTTTGGGTGCAGAAAAGGTTTGTACAGGCTTTATCTCTATCTCGGCAAGAGAAACATTGATAAATGATTTCTAAGATGAATTTAGTTTTCATCAATTTCCTTTTTTTTCTCACTCCTTTCATACCCATGTTTATTTCCTTGGACTTTGATAATCTATACACCTTATTTTTTAGTGTTACGCAACTTTTATTTCTCTAAGTTTTGACCTACATTATTCGTCTAAATATCTGCAGTTCCATGTTGTTCCCAGTATTCTTATCATCACTGAGATAATTATTATTACTATAATTGCTTGAACTATGTGCATCTTCGATTCCACTGGTAGCCACTACCAATCATTACTATAATTATGGTTACTGTCACAATTATTGCATTTTGGGATAAATGAGGATTTCAATTTTCGGGTAGTATTCGTCTCGGACTGATATCCTTTCAACCCGTAACCCCATCATGGTTGAGTACTACTGCTATGAATCAGCTCTCCAATCACCCCAGGTTTTCAATGGTCCTCTAACTTCAGTCCATGATAAATGCTACCTCACTATTATTATTGTTATGCAGATATCTACTGTTTACATACTTTATTTCCCTGTTACCACAAACTTAAGAATTCACTATGATTAGATTGTTTTATTTATGAGACTATCTATGTATATAAGCACTAAGCATGGTGAGAGCTACATGGAAAGAATATTTTTCGCCTACATGTCTTCTTCAAGTAAAGTAATTCCTGATTTTAGACCTAAACGCAAACACGTTTGGATACAACGATTAACAATAAATGCTGTTTAATACACATTTATTTCATATGCCTATTGATGTATAATGTCAAAGTTGTTCGTTAGAACCCTAACATGACTCAGCTTTTCAATTCATCTTCATTCATCACTCAGTATCAAAAAAGAACAACAATGATATATATGCAAGACTTTCTACAATGTTTAACTTGGCTTTCAAAGTAGAAACATATCAGGAATTAATTGCTTTCAACTGATGAGACTAGAAGAGGTGAAATGAACATTTTAAAATCTCGATGAAAGCGTATTTTTTTTTTAGTACTGTACTAAATGATTTATAATCATGTTGGAGATCGTATGAAGAAGTAGAATTTGATTTTACGGTGATAATAATTCACAAGTTGTCTAACCTATATATTTCAGGCATATATTCTGATGGTAATAATTTCTGTGTCATAGGTGAGGTCAACTTTCTGTTTATATATATATATATATATATATATATATATTCCAAGTGATAACAACAAATGCGTATGTTAGTTATTCACTTAATATTTTCCCCGAAAATACAATAAACCATGAATATAGTATTCATCAGTATGCGACAATAAATGAATTATTTCTACAGAAGATATACCTGACATTATGAGTAAAAGTCTAAGAGAGGTGTTTCATAAATTTTGTCCATTAATTAAGTTATGATAGACGATTTTTAACTTGAACCTCCTTTTTTTAAAATTCCTTAGCTCTCTCTCACTCTCTCGAATAAAGTAGTTTCACAGGAGAGATGGTATCAATTGTATTTTATTTCAATCCTTAATTAGTAGTATTGTGTGAAACGAACTAAGCTATAAACTAATGACCCCTCTTTATCACTTGATATATAATCAAACATATTAGAATAGAGAACAGACACGCACTAGATATGAACCCATGATAATCCTCTTTTGCTTCTGTATACTTCTGTTGAATTTAGCAATGCACTTCTCAAACAGCCGTTTTATACATTTATACTGCTACAATTCAGTTCATAACACGTTAATTAAACTAAATTACAGAAAGAGACAATGAAAACTTGATGCAAGAGTGGAAAATAAGATCGCATGATGACTGTGTTAGCTAAAATTAGGCGTATAGAACTCTGTCAAACTTTGACTCAATTACTTTTTCGTGCTCTAATTATATGACACTTCTATTTGATAGGGAAATGGTGTATGATTTCTTTAAAAGCTTGAAGGTCTACGAATAACCTAAAAAAATCATGACAGAAACTAATGACAAATCTATGTAAATATGAGCTGAAACACTTGGGTAATACAGTACAAATTTGCAAGCGTGTGCATAATCCTCTTAGTGTTAAAATAAAGTTAGCCGGGAACCCATAAAGTTTTTAGATGTTGAAATATTTCCCATGAGGAAACTACTTTGATAATTGCCCACTCTGTGAATTTCGAACCGAATTTATAATAATAACACCATTCAGTAACTTCATCACATTTCAACTTGACAGAATTTGGAAAATATGTATCATTTTATTACTATTCATTTCCAGTATAGGTAAGTATTCACTGCAGAAAGTGAAGGTACTGACCTAAGAACCCTACAGTATTGAAGTAAAGTATTCATAAGAAATATGAATCAAAAAGAGAAGGACTGGATGTCACTGAATGAAGGTAATGCTATGTCGCGAAGTGACAGAATTTTTAAAAATGTAGGCCTGTGAAATCCTACCCCGTGGCCCAATGCCAAGGTGCTTACCAAGAAATCCTTAAGTCCCGGGTTCGATCTCCGACATGATCATGGTTGCACACAGCTGAGAAGTCGCAAGCTAGGGCGAAAGAGGTGTCCAATACCTCCAGTTTTTCACTGGTTCTACGTCTGATATCTGTCCGTAATGAAGGAATAACTGTTCACAGTACTTCCGTTGGTCTCACAGGTTTTCTTATAACTGATTCAATTCACGATATAAAAACTACCTTGGCAATTTTCAATTTCGAAGAGATTTGCTTAGTTTGAAACATCAAGACAAACTTTGATTTCAATTATGCAGCCACTACTGGTGCATAACAGAGTTACCGTTTTAATTGCCTCTTCCGTTTACTTTCAAATTAACATGAAACGAGTACGACTTAGTTTTCACCAATTTCTGTGCTTTTCAAATTCTCCGATGACTGTGACAAACACCACGAGTCAAATGGTGATAAAACTGTGGCGTTCAAAATAGTTCTTTACTTTCTAGTTGTACCCCATTTCACCTCCTATTCTTTTGATGGTAGGTAAAAGGGTGATAATCACGGTTATTGACAGAAACCAAAACTATATGATCCACTTTGAGGATATGATGATTTCAGGTTCCTACTCACCATAGAATGACATCAGTCGGAGAAACACTGGAAACCTGGGGACAATGGACAACTGTTTTGGCCTAATATTGAACTTCTCAACAATGTCCACCGATGACGCCACCAGGAATCGAACCAAGGACCTTCATGCTCCACTGACAGCATTTTGCCGTTTAGCCGCTGGGTTGGAATCCAATGGTTAAGTTTCCTACTTTTATTATTTCACGATATAGCGTGAACTCCATCCAGTAGCGTCGTTGAATAACTGTCCTCATGTTCGACTTGGTTAGCCCTACTGGTCACGACCTCTCATTGGAAGTTCAGGAATCACTTCTCGAAGCTAGCCACTAAAGAGTACTAGACTAATTCGCGATAAGGAGGTGCATACAAAGTTGTCTTAAGAAATGCTAAGCGATCTCATTGCTAATTTATACTCAGTTACTAAAATACTTAACACCTAAGTTGAACGTACGCATGAATGAAATTAGCATACAAACACATTTTATCAA